GAGCCCCCGAACACATTTTATGTCCTTTAAAAAATACATGTATGTGCGCATTTTGCTTCTTTAAAAAATACATGTATGTGCGCATTTTGCTTCTTTAAAAAATACATGTATGTGCGCATTTTGCTTCTTTAAAAAACGTTTATCCAGAGCACCAAAAAGTATAACTGTGCAGTGTCCAACTAGCGCATTCAAGCTTTGGAGGTCACTAAACTTAAGCGGCCATTTCCTCCCTAATTTTACTTCTGAAAGCTGGCGACCCCTACTTCCTTCACTCCCAAATATCTCGACTTTTGTTCAAGATAGATGGATTCTTTTTTTCATCGATAGCAATACAAATGAAGAGGCTTTAAGTTTCCATCAATAACTCTTTTTTTAGGGGGGGGGCTAAGTGTTTTACGGGACACATTAAACATTTTCAGTTGTTAGGAAATTTTGAATTTTGCCCGGGAGGCGGCCAAAGCCTACTCTTATCGATTTTAGACTACCAAGGGATCCTTAACGTGCGCACACAGGACCTCCAAGATTTTTCGCCCTTTTTTTGGGGGGGGGGTGTTTTACGGCGCTCGCTACTGCATACGGTCATATATTATGAGTGCAAGGGGCACGTTGAACATTTTCAGTTGGTAGGATATTTTGAATTTAGCCCGGTCGCGGCTGAAGTCTACTCTTATAGATTTTGCACCACCAAGGGATCTTTAACGTGCCCACACAGGACCTCCAAGATTTTTGGCCCTTATCCGAGAAGGTTAGGTGTTACATCGTACCTACCATAAGATTAGGAGTGTGGCTGAAAGACAGCAGTAAGAAGGAGCTGAGCAGAAGCAGTAGAAAGGCTGCAGAAAGAGTCAGAAGCCGAGAGGAGGGGGCAAAGGAGGTGAGGAGGTTGTGGCAAAAAGTGGAGACGAAAGCAGACGACAGAACATTTTTAGAAAGCAGGAAAGGAGGTGACAGGAGAAAAAAATTTTATGAGAAAAAAAATGTCCGTCGCTCTCCGGATTCGAACCCGGGACCTATTGAATGAGAGGCGAAGACCGTAACCCCTCGGCCACGAGAACCACGCCCCTCAGTTCGACAGCCCACGAGTGACGTCGTGTCCGGACCAGCAGCCTGTCGGCTACACTGTGGACGACGGGGCGCGTCCCTGTCCGCTGTTCACATATTATTGAATGTATTGTGCCGCCGCTGATCGAACCTGGGAGATCGATGACAGTTCCTTACCCTGGTCCCATCAGGACTTCGGATCAAAAGTCTTTTGTATTTGACTACAGGAAAGAGAGAGAAAGAGAGAGAAAGAGAGAGTTCTTTTATACAAAAGAGTGAAGGCGGTGGAGTGGTTTAGGGGGGGGTGTAAGATTTAGAGACGGGGGGGGGGAGGGTAGAGGGTAGGGAGAAAGAGTGAGACAGAGAGGGAAGAAAGGGGGCGGGGAGGTAGGAGAGGGGGGGGACAAAAATGCAGAGAGAGAGAGAGAGAGAGAGAGAGAGAGAGAGAGAGAGAGAGAGAGAGAGATGTGACAAAATAGGGAGAGAAAGTGTTCACAACTAGAGAAGGAGAGAGAGAGAGAGAGAGAGAGAGAGAGGGGGGGGGGACTCCTTCTCGAGAAGAAGAGAGAGAGAGAGAGAGAGAGAGAGAGAGAGAGAGAGAGAGAGAGAGAGAGAGAGAGAGAGAGAGAGTCCTTAACAAGAGAGAGGGGGGATGAGAGAGAGGGAGAGAGACTCGGAGAGAGAGAGAGAGAGAGAGATAGAGAGAGAGAGAAAGAGAGAGAGAGAGAGTTTAATTAGAGAGAAGGGAGAGAGACTCAGAGAGAGAGAGAGAGAGAGAGAGAGAGAGAGAGAGAGAGAGAGAGAGAGACCGGGCAACATTCAATATTAATTCCTACCAAACCGAGAATAAATAAACATTTTCAAAATGTTTAATGTGCCCCGTGCATTCAAATGACCTTATGCAGTTGCGAGCGCCGTAAAACACTTACCAAACCCAAAACCTTAAACTTAGTCTCAGCTGTTAGTCGGCAGAGACTTGCTACATATATATACTTTTAGAAATGAACTTTGACCTTATTTAAACTGTCTTACTGTCTTGATCAAGAACATACCCCACTGACCACATGCACAGCACAGCTTAGCGCTAGGCACCACAGACAAGCATGTGAAAGGGGGGGGGGGAGGGGGGAGGACAATCTAGTGTAAACAAACGTATGCATTGCAGGCCTGTTGTAATCGATTTGGTGTAATAGTAATAATAATAATAATAATAATAATAATAATAATAATAATAATAATAATAATAATAATAATCATAATAATAATAATAATAGTAATAGTTATGATAATAATAATAGTAATAATAATAATGATAACAATAATAATAATAATAATAATAGATAGATAGATAGATAGATAGATAGATAGATAGATAGATAGATAGATAGATAGATAGATAGATAGATAGATAGATAGATAGATAGATAGATAGATAGATAGATAGATAGCATTTGCATTGATCTAGCCGCTCAACAGCAAGCTCTGTGCGCTTCACAATCTATACTCTTATCCCAGCAGACCTGAGAGCACTCTGAAACAACCTGGAAAGCATACAGTGCAAGCAGCCATTTAGAGGCGCTAAAACACTAACATACTGACTAGATCTTTCGCTGTCTCTGACTGGGAACCCATTTCCACCTGGGTGAAGTGAGGAAAATTCGTGTAAAATGCGAGGCCACCGACGCCAAAACTGCACGATTACGGGCCCGGTAGCCAAACCACCGCGTGTATATGTAGGCCTATGTGAATGGCAACTCGCTGATCAATTTCACTTGGGTTGGGGAGCAAAGAGGAGGTAGTTTCAAACTATAAAAGAAAAAAAAACCCTATCGTCACCGTCATCATGAATTTCCAGATCTGAAACAGACATCGATAGTCACTAAAAATAATAAAGAAAAGAAAAAAAGATACGCCTACAGCACGTGGTGTTCCCAAGCGGTCACCCATCTAAGTACTAACCACGCCCGACGTTGCTTGACTTCGGTGATCGGACGAGAACCGGTAGGTTCAACGTGGTATGGCCGTAGACAACGATTGAGGATAACAGTACTATATAAAGTAATCGCGTCGTTTGTGATTGAGCGGAGCGAGCTTTTTAACAGGATTATTTTTCTTTGTTTCATTGCAAAAAGTATATTTACAATTCATAGTTAAGCAGCAAATTATGAGCCAGCGCTTATCCTTTTGTACTTTTTTTGGTTTTTTGTTTCGTTTCCTCTTTACTTTTACTTTTAAGCAAGGAGATTAAACTCCTTGCTTTTAAGGCATCGACCTGATACATTAAAGAGATAAAAGACTAAAGGGAGAGAAACATTAGAACTAATTCCTAGACTCGGAAGTGGCTAGAGGCAATCACAAATGGCATTATTATTTTACGTGTACAGTACTCAGGGACTGTGGCTTTTCGGGACCATTTTGTTATTGAACCGGAAACAATATAATATACTACTGAAGAAAATGCTGAATACAAAGAATTATTGTACATAACAAAACCGATGACAAGCAATGGCTTATGTTAGTGGCGTGTGTTTCTGTTGATAGTTATAAAAATGTTGCATGGGGATTGCCGTTGCTGAGCTTATCACACTTAATTTTAATATAGATCTAATGGTGAAACGAAACATTAGGGAAATTAAATGCAATAAGAGATTTTTGAAAAGGTTTTTGCTGAAAACTTAGCACCCTGCTATTAGATACATGGAGAGAAATTTGCAGGGGCATGTTGTACTTGTATTTACCATTTTGCAGTAAATTTCTTTTTGTGGTGATAAAAAAAATAGTATCTAACAAATCTTAACTACCATTTTATTTCATCTTAAAAGGCTATTTCTAGAACAACAGACATAAAATTTTATCACATCCAGACATTTGGATGAAGGTGGTAGGAAAAAAATTGAGATATTTGATATACCAAATCTAAGGTTTTGAATGTGTACCAGACAGTAGATATTTCCTTATAATCTTTCTAATCGTCTTTCATCGTTTGAGGAGTAGCATGCTTCCCCTGCATCCACAGTTGGTATATTATGCAGGGGTCTAGATACGATCGCCCAACTCCTAACCCAATGATACATTATAATTAGGCGTAATCAATGTTGATATCTCTTTTATTAGCCTTCTGGGGTGACACTGCTTCAAAAAAATTATCTCTATAGGCAATGTTAGCAAAATAGACTACACGACTCTTTCCAATTGCCCACTTTTGCACTATTTGTGAAATTCCCGAGTCCATCATGTTAACAATCTTCCCTACTATCAAAATGATCACTGGATATCTAAATGTGATCATGTGATGCTCCATTCTACTTCCGGTGGTTGCACCACACAACAGCAACACATCCCTGACCTTTACCCTCACATGAACTTTGTTCTGACTTCATTACTTGTTTGGTGTTCCCAGAGTCTCTGGTGTTCCACTTTGTGACAGACAAAAATTAAAAATAGGCTCTGCTCTCTTGCTGGCTGTGGTGCAATCAATACCCCGAGTATCCATATAAATTGCATTGGAGGATACTTATATTCAGTGGTAGGGGTAGAGATCAGGGTAGGCCTAGATCTCTATTAACTGTGGTTAGTAAATCCGTTGGTCCTCTTTGACGAGTAGTTTTTGCTCTATCTTCTCGACTCAACGGGACAGATCTTTTTCCAGGTTCAGAACCTTCTAACTTGCCGTTTTTTAGCTGGCACTGGGTTTACCAGAAATTTGTGACAACCTTCAGACGTTAAAAGTGTTCCGTTTTCAATCAAGTCTACACGACATAACAAACAGCCTGTTGTCCCTTCAGCAAGAAGCTATCTCATCGAAAAAGTTGGAGGGAGAGAAGCATTTCAAGGGAGCAAGTCACCACTGTAATCTCATGTCATTACCTGTTTGCAAATTTTATAACACAAGTCAGTCATGCAGGTTTGGTAAAAACTGTCGATTTTTACACCCCAGAAGTCAGAGACCTCCGCCTTCAAGTTTTAATCCAAGAAATCAAAATGAGGATTCAGTAAGTAAAGAGCTCGCCTCCCAGGATTTGCCACCCGTCTATTCCAGAAACGACCAGTTTGCTTCACAGAGCCAAGATGAGGAGTCAGTGAATCAAACATCAGTAAAGCTTCAGGCTTCTCATATTGAAGACAAGCCCAAGCAAGAATTGCCACAAAGCAGAGTTCGCCCAAAGAGCAACCAAAAGATTTGCGTGCACTTTGCACAAGGTGGAAATTGTTATTATGGAAGAAATTGCAGATTTTCCCATGCTCTCCCAAGGGGACATAATCCTCGCCAGCAGCAGCATCGTCAGCAGGGTCAAAGGCGACGTGAATATGCGTCTGCTAATCTTGCTCCCCGGTTTAGAGGATATGAGCAAGAATCACAGGATCAGTCCGATGCTCCGACAGAGAAATCGGAAAACTTGAAGTCTGGCTCAGTGAGATCTGAGGTCAGCAAAGATGGCCGTGACCGTTGGTCATCTAAGCCTGTGGAACCAAAGCAGGTGAGGGAGGTCCAGGGACCAAAGTCTAATGCACGAAGAATTTGCCCATTTTACAAGTCAAATCGGTGTAACAGGGGAGAGCGCTGCAGGTTCTTGCACCCTCCTGATATACTGAATGATCTTGGGAAAGAAGAATCGGAACAGAAGGAAGAGGGTTCCTCGGGAAACATCTCAAGGAAAGATAACGAGACGCGAAAAGTCATTGTTCAAATTGATCAAAAGAGAAATGTTGGCCGACCAGTTTTGAAGCCTGTTTTGTCATATTCCGAGTTTGAGGAAGTTGGCATCAATAGGCTGCGACAGTGGGAAGTCAGCATCATCCAAAAACGATTTCCTAAAGACAAGATCACAGTCGTGGAAGATGATGAAAACAAGTTCGCCGTTCGCATCAAGTTCTCACCCACTGATCCTGACTGGGTAAGTTGAGTCTTGAATTCTACTGCAATTTGATTCATTCATTTTTAAAAGAGTTTGAAAACTTCCTTAAAATTGAAAGCTAGGGCCTACATTTCAGATGTTGTTGTTGTTGTTGTTGTTGTTGTTGTTGTTTTCAAATCCCTTTAGCTGCGAGCATTCCGCCCAATTACATTTCAGATAACCTGCTATAGATTTAAACTATATAGATCTAGATATCTATATATGCTTTTAAGGTCTGTATGTTATTTTTTGAGGACTGTGAAAATGCCATTTATTTTTACTCATGGAGATGGGGGGAGGGGTGGCTTCATGTTGTTATCAAAAACATCACTTACACATCGTGTCAAAAAACTAATAGATCTAGTCATTAGTCCAATTATTTTCAGTTTTTAAGAGGTTTTCCTCTTTTTCTTTCCTTCACAGCCATTTGATGTGAATATGTTTGAACTGCTTGTCTCTGTACCAGGCAGCTACCCAAAACAGGTGAGTGGGATTTTCTCGCTTTGCAAATATTTTTTCTTGGGAACAGCTCGAATCTGTGAAACTAAAGTCTCATGGATCAAACTTCTACCCATCTTTTATGCACCATCTAATTGATCGTCATCTTGTTCAAATACTTCATCCGTCACCGCCCATAGCCGCAATATTTTCAATATCCATGTGTATGGTCTGTTAATATAGGAGTTCTCGGCTCAAAATTGGATTATAAAAAAAAGTTTGCAAAGAAAGAATTTGATCTCAGAATTTCCAATCTTGATAATTATTTCTAACATTTTATGTTGAATTCTTCCGCTCTTTTTGATAAAGATACTGGAATGAATGACTGCTTTCTTTCATTTTTAAGATTTGTATACACATTTCTTGTGCAAGATATCTTTAGACATTTATGTTGCTCTTTGTACTTTTACATAAGTTACATATAAATCTATATATATATATATGTGTCGCAGCATTGTGGAATCGGTGGATCTTCAATTTTGGGGCATATAGAGTTATTGGTACCATCGTAAAGTCTGTCCATTTTGCCTTGCTTTTGATGTAAAAAATATCCATTTATCTTGAATACAAGTCAAGATATTGGCAATTGAAGGAGGTGGGGTCACCTGGTTTCAGAGGTAAAATTAGCGAGAAAATGGCCACCAAAGTTGAGTTATTTCCTAGCTTGAGAGTCCATTATTTGCTTAAGTAAAATCCACACAGAAATGTATTCTTTAATGGGCATGAAAGATACATACTGAGCCAAAAAACAAAAATTGGATTTTTTTAAAAATCCTAAACCTGCGGAAAAATGCCAGTTTCTTAACTTTATTTATTTTGACGAGCGCCTAATTTCACCATGCTGCTTCACATGTACCATCAGCGTAACATTATAGTTTAACATTTGAACAATAAGATATTGTTTCTCGTTTCTAGATGCTGGAGGTCAGCCTTCCTAAGGATCAAGATCTCCCAGAGACTGTGAGAAGGTAAGAGAACCCGCCTCAAACTCATCGGCCTATCAAGGGTTGAGACTGAAACAAAACTTGTGTCCCGTTGTCACCTTACTTTGACTTCTCCATCTCTTATCGTGATTTGCTTTGTATTGAAAACGGCATGGTTCTGATAACTGACAGTTCTCAGGAGAGTTGTAAGTCAGCTGGAAGATATTTCAACAACATATTTTAATCTGCACACTTGCTTTCTTTCAATTCTTTTTAGTGCTTAAGTATTTTAATCTTTTCTTCTCCATAGAAAAAAAAATGTTACCTCTAGCAAAATGTTATAGCTGTCAGCTTGTGCTGTCAGCGTGTGTGCCGTCCAAAGTATTGCTTGTTTTAGTCGTTTTTAAGCTTTTATGTGAATTGGCACAAATGGAAACACTCACCAACTTAACCCTTTGCACTTACTTTTTCAATATTCTCTCTTATTTATTCTGTTAAATAGTAATGATAAGTTTCACTAATTTAGCACATTTCCACTGACGAGCGAGTGTTCTATGCACTTAATTTGATGGTAAATTGTCGCTAATGGAAAGAACTTTATGACTAACTTCTTTTTACTTATTTGTCTGATATTCTCTCTTTAGATATATATATATATTGATGTTCCATAAGAACTTACTGACTTACTTATTTTTCCGATCTTCTCCCTCTAGGTATATTGATATTACCATAAGAGAATGGCTCATGGACAAGAAAAAGCGACTTGAGTCTGCCAACAAGGTGGAACTTGTGTTTCGCCCCTTCCTCAAGTGGCTGGACAGAAGTATTGAAGATATTACCACAGAGGCTCTGAAGCAGGTAGGTTTAAGTCATGTTGGACTTATTTACGGGTGGACGGCGGGTGCTCTGGTGTGGTGTGCGCCTTCTTTCCTATCAAACATCTGTCTTGGTTATCTCCCCTCCTTGTTTTACTCGTTTACTCTCCAGTGATACCTCTTCTCTTTGGCTCTTGACCTTTTTGTGTTGCAAGTGCTGTAAAACTCTCACTTTAAACAAGAAACCTATTTGAGCTTGAAAGATGGAGGTTTTGTCTGCTGTGCTGTTCTTGGAAATGTTTGCTGCTCCTTTGTGCATTTCAAGTGGCATTTGACCTGAGAATGTGCACCAATTGTCAGGTGATGTGTGTCAATTGTCAGGTGATGTGTGTCAATTGTCAGGTGATGTGCACCAATTGTCAGGTGATGTGTACCAATTGTCAGGTGATGTGTGTCAATTGTCAGGTGATGTGCACCAATTGTCAGGTGATGTGTACCAATTGTGAGGTGATGTGTACCAATTGTGAGGTGATGTGTGTCAATTGTGAGGTGATTTGTGTCAATTGTCGGGTGATTTGTGTCAATTGTCAAGTGATTTGTGTCAATTGTCAAGTGATTTGTGTCAATTGTCAGGTGATGTGTACCAATTGTGAGGTAATGTGTACCTATTGTGAGGTGATGTGTGTCAATTGTCAAGTGATTTGTGTACCAATTGTGAGGTGATGTGTACCTATTGTGAGGTGATGTGTGTCAATTGTCAGGTGATGTGTACCTATTGTGAGGTGATGTGTACCTATTGTGAGGTGATGTGTGTCAATTGTCAGGTGATGTGTACCTATTGTGAGGTGATGTGTACCTATTGTGAGGTGATGTGTGTCAATTGTCAAGTGATTTGTGTACCAATTGTGAGGTGATGTGTACCTATTGTGAGGTGATGTGTGTCAATTGTCAAGTGATTTGTGTCAATTGTCAGGTGATGTGTACCAATTGTGAGGTGATGTGTACCTATTGTGAGGTCATGTGTGTCAATTGTCAAGTGATTTGTGTCAATTGTCAGGTGATGTGCACCAATTGTGAGGTGATGTGTACCAATTGTGAGGTGATGTGTGTCAATTGTGAGGTGATGTGCGCCAATTGTCGGGTGATTTGTGTCAATTGTCAGGTGACTTATGTCAATCCAGTGTGAGTTGTGTCTGTTAGCTGCTTTGCTGTCACACACAGGAGACCCAAGTTCAATTCCCAAGCGGGGAGAATTTTTATAGAGTATAATGTATATCAGTCTTTCTGCTGGGATGTTGTATCTCTGTCAACCCGGCTTGTCTCTGACAGGAAGGGTCAAAAGCCTGTCTTCTAAATGATCTAAATTGTGTTAATGGGGGTGTAAAAATATATATATACAGTGGAAACCATATATAACAGGCACAGTAATAGCAGGGATCCGGTAATAACAGGGATATTTTAAATCCCCGTTTCTTCCTACTCTTTGTCTCTATTAA